GGTTCATTCTTGGTGTACATTCTATGGGTTTGCACAAATGTATACTGACATGTATCCACCATTACAGTATCCTACAGAGCATTTTTATTGCCCTAAAACTCTGCACTCTGCCCTTTTATACCTTTTGAATTCTGAACCATGTATATACCTAATTCATATAAGGGAAAACAGTTTAAACATTCTTCCCAACTCAGAATGCCAGGAAATCCTGGGGTTGGGGGGTAGTCCTCCAGTGGAGCTCGTTCACAGCGCCTGGAGGCAGCCGTGGGCAAGCTCAAGTGAGGGCGGGTTTGTGTTTCCTATACTCTTTAATCTCTGCTATATGAGCAGTTGTCTGAATACAAGCGAGGAAGAAAAAGTCCAGCTAATCAATGTATTGTTCTGTACAACAAGGTTTTACTATGTTACAAATCTTCAATCATTATCTGGTTTTAAACATGGTGGATAACACCTTTCACCATGGCAGAAGAGGGACCAGGCAGGGCCTCACATTGGGGGTGAGGGGCAGGAACATAGATGACCTTCTCCCTTCTTCTGGAAAAAGGAAACATTTTCTAACCACAGGCATCCATAAAGCTTTCTCTGTGACCAAATTTAAGTTTTGTCTCTTTGAGACCTTCCACCCCTTTCCAAAGACTTTTTTTTTTTTCCTCCCATGAGAAATGTAAATAACATTCCAGAAAAGGCCAGGGAGAAGGAATTTCACAGTCCCTGAGCAGACAGCTCTAACTTCAGCTTCTCCTGCAGCAAAGGCAGTGGGAAGACTGGGCTGACCGTGGGCAAAAGCAGGGGCAGGGGAGACTAGGCCTGGCAGGGTGGTGGGAGAGGCCACAAAGTTCCTACCTGCTAGGAGCTCTGGAAGCACCTGGGGGAGACTGGGACATGGTGGTGGGTAGTGGGAAGTGGCTGGGCATTTTGGATTAGATGGCCCAGGAGGCAAAGGCAGAGAGAAGCCCCTCTCCCCTCCCTCCTTAGCTGAGCTGCTGCTACATCCAGGCCCAGCTCAGCTGAGTCCAGATAGAGAAATTCTACCTCTGATAAAAAACTGGTAACACTGGTTGCCTCCAAGAAGGGGAACTGGGAACACATCACTCTGTACTTTTCTCTTCTTTTAAGTAGACATCTGGGAAGTGGCTGGGCCCAGGGGATGCTTGCACATCCAACATTCACACGTCTTGACAGCAGCTTTGGGAGGTCTCATGCCCATTTTGCAGATGAGGAAATGAAGGCTCTCAGAGGTGAGGTCTCAGCAAACAGCAGAGGCAAGGAGAGCAGGCCCACAGTTTCACGAAAGGTCTGGAGCAGGACTGTCAGCACAGAGGTCCCCACGGTGACATTCTCATTCAAGCCAACGTGTAGTCAGGCTGGCTGAAGATAGGCAGGTTGTCATTCTCATTGATGAGGGTGACCTTCACCTTGGCGTAGCCCACATGGTCAGACACACTCTCTGGCAAAGAGGTCAAAGTCATAGTGGTCCATGGTCTCATAGTCCAGGGGGATGGCCACCTGGCTATGAATGTCCGCTTTCCTTTGGACAGAGGTAGGGAGATAATGGAGTGCTGGGAATCGTTCCCTATCAGGTACACCTTGAACAGGCTGTTCAGGCCCAAGTTCCATTACTCTGTATGATCTTCTTCCCATGGGCCATAGGGCAGGGATGAAGGAACAGTGGAGCTTGGCAACCCCTCCAGAAGAAATGGGAGTTCAGAGTGGTTGACTAAGCCACCCAAGGTCGCACAGGACACTGGAGGCAGTGAGGATACAAGTCCACGCCCAGCTCCCAGGCTGGGCTGCCTTCCAGCCCGGGGGACGTGGGGTCAGGGCATCCCCCAGTAGCAGCCCCAGTGCAATCTGAGTTACCAGAGCAAAGAGAGAGTAAGGCTGAGCACCCCAGAGCCACATCCGAGTGAATGCCAGCAGGTGAGGCCAAGCAGGCAGTTGCCCCGAGGAGGGGAGGTTGGAACTGGCTTTAGGAATGAAGGCAGAATGGACTAGAAGAGTTCCAAAGACTAGCAATTCTAGTTTTGAAATGAGTTACATAAGCCTCGTTGATACTGACATTAATGATAAAATGAGGAAGTTCGAGTCTTGAAGTGACAGAACAGAGCTAAGGGCTTCACAACCGAAGAGAAGTCTGGCAAGGCTGAGCTGGGTCAAGGGCACTGCTGCTATAACAGTATTTGTCTCTCGACCTTCTTCAGCCTGTAATTTTGACCCACTGACTCTGGATTTGGCTGAGGAGCTAAAAAGGTTCAAGACCAACGGACCAGCCTTTGGCAGCTGAAAGATCCTATTCTCAGCAGCAGATCCCCGGAATCAGAAGCAAATGTTAGCCTGCTCTCTGCAAGGCAAAGTGCCGAAGCCGAAGCCAAAATACCAGCAGGAGTGCGGGCGCCTAGGCCTCAGCCAGGCAGGATGTGAAATGTCAGGCCATTAGGCTTGTATTTTTACTGCAGTGGTTACAGGATGGGGTTGATGTGGGACTGAAAACGCATGCTGACTTCGGGGAGTTTTTTGGGTTTTTTTTTTCCCAGTCTCAAATATCGACACCCACTCACCAGGTTCGGGAACGAGTAAACGCTACGGAAGATATTAAGGGTGAACCTTCATTTCCCCTGGCCTCCATTCCCTGGCTATCAACACGGGCAGAAAATGCCAGGTCAGTGCCAATCGGTGCATGCCAACAGCAGAGAAGTTTATTTCATCTGGCTCCGGGGCAGAACTACAGTCACAACGACTAAGGTGGGAAGTTCCTCAAGTAACTGATACTGTGAGATCAGAAAGGCAGAGGGAGGGGCGCCTGGGTGGCTCAGATGGTTAAGCGTCTGCCTTCCGCTCAGGTCATGATCTCAGGGTCCTGGGATTGAGTCCCGCATCGGGCTCCCTGCTCAGTGCAGGGCCTGCTTCTCCCTCTCCCTCTGCTTGTGCTCTTCTATCTCTCTGTCAAAAAAATGAATGAAATCTTTAAAAACAAAGGCGGAGGGAAGCCATCAATGTGAGCCAGAAAAAGAGGTAAAATCTATTCTAATGATAAACCATGGGTGACACGTGCTGTGAGATAGGTATTTGTATTTGCAGTGTATTCCTGAGGCCACCAAGTAAATGCATGGACCTCTACATTTTTAGTATGAAAATTCTGGTTTCAACTTACATTCTCCGTATTAGTTTACTCAAACACTGAAATCCAAGAATTCTCATAGCTAAGGCAGTTAAAACCAAAAGGATGTAGGTACTGCCCCAACTAGTGAGAAATAGGACTCAAAAATGTCTTCTAATAATCATTGAAGAATTCAAATATGCTTTCGCGGCTGGGAGAGACACTTGAATGTTTCTGTGGCTCCCTCTACTCCAAGACCTCCCCCTGCAAACATACTCAGTTACAGTAAAAGCACCACCACAGAAGGGGTGAAACTGTAAATAACGCTGGTCCAAAGCTCCTACATTCATCAGGGATACCATTCCAGGGCCTGGGTGACTCAGTTGGTTCAACTTCTGACTTCAGTTCAGGTTATGATCTCGGGGACATGGGATGGAGTGATGAGCCCAGCGTGGGCCTTCTTACTCGGCAGGGAGTCTGTTTCTCCCTCCCTCTGCCCCTCCCCCATTCATGCTCTCTTTCTCTCAAATAAATAAAATCTAAAAAAAAAAAGATACCATTCCAGCAAGTCTTCAGAAGTGTAGCCTGGATAGTTTAAAGGCTCACCAAAAGCCGGGCTTCCAGGAAGAGTTAAAAGTAAAACAACAAAATAAACAAGAGCTACTGACAGGGTTCAACTAAAGCGTGCTGTAGTCCACACCTTCCAGACTTCGGTAAGCTTCCCCACGTGCGTTCCAGCACCAGCGCGGTGACGCAGCGCCCTCGCCCAAAGATCGTGACCCTAGATCAACAAAGGCTGGTAAGAAATGAATTCTAAAGCTGTAAAAGAGCTGAGCTTGTGAAGCAGATTAAATAATGCGGCCCTCACTGGCATGCAGATCGGAGCAGGGAAATGAGACACAGTTAAAAAGACATACCCTCAGAATGCATGGAGTTGATCACAGGCACAGCTCCTAAATATAACGATTCGCAATTTTCCTACAGGTAGTTTAGGAAACATGTCACTAGCATGAAATGAGATGGTTTCAGTGGCAACAGTGTGACCTGTGGGCACGGAACCAACGTCCTCAAGAGAAAAGGTCCTTGTTTTTTCTGGATCCACAGGCGCTGGGGAAAAGACTGCCCCCCACACAGAGGCAGGGGAAATCAGCACAGAGCAGCTCAAGAAGTTCGAGAGCTAGGAATTAAACTCGGGCAATTCAGAGAGGCTTTGACACTTGAAAGCAGTGTGAGGTGAGAATTCAGAGAGGTTTAAAATTCGGACCCCAGCATCTCTCACACTACACTGATCATAGACGTCTGCTCCAGAAGCTGTAACTCTACCTGCTGTAACGGCGGGCAGAGGAGTCCTTCAGAAGCGGTGGTAGGCTGAGGTAACACGGGTGAGGCCAGAGGCAAGCTCTCCCCATTCTAGATGTTGGCCGCAGCGTGAAAGAAGTGCCCGGGGGGCGCCTGGGGGGCTCAGTTGGTTACGCGACTGCCTTCGGCTCAGGTCATGATCCTGGAGTCCCGGGATCGAGTCCCGCGATCGAGTCCCGCATCGGGCTCCCTGCTCAGCAGGGGGTCTGCTTCTCCCTCTGACCCTCTTCCCTCTTGTGCTCTCTGTCTCTCATTCTCTCTCTCAAATAAATAAAATCTTAAAAAAAAAAAAAAAAAGTGCCTGTGGGCTGGGCAGGAGCCCTACCAGCTTCCACTCAATCCACAGAGGGCTTGGGAAAGGTCATCCACTTCAGCACCCTGGGCATCTAGAGGGCAGACGCACGTGGCCACGAGGGAGGAAGAAGCTCTAGAAGCTGCCATGTTGAGCCTTGGATGGACGAGGTTTTTTATAGCCAGATCACTCCAAAACCAGCGTGGGGATGGGGATAACGAGCAAATTCTATGAGTTCATATATTAATGTCCTTCCAAATAAAAAAATGATTCTTTATTTTTACATTTCTAAAATCACAGAACTCCAGGCTGAATGTTATCTCACACACACACACAAAAAAAATCACTAATTTCTGGAGTCATCATATGGGAAAAATCTCCCATATCTCCTCTTCAAAATCTGGCCGAGTTATGCCTCAGGGAAATTTTCCAGTTCCGCCCCACACACCGACTTGGGATAAATAGAAACACTGAGGTCGTTTAGTTTTACCCACAGTTCCAAAGTGCTCTGACAGGGTAACTCTCACCGGGTTAGAATACAGTTAGGAAGAATAAAGCTGTGTGTAGAATTCTGGGTGTGGTTAAAATGTGAATGTGTGCGCCTCCTGACCTGCGGGCTTTGTTCTCTTCTCCTTTCACTTGTTTTGTTTTGTTGCTTCCTACCGGGATTGCAACAAAAATATACCTTCTATTCAGAATCCCACTGGAGAGTAAGTGGTTCAGATGAGTAGTCCTGTTACATATTAAGTTACTGGGCCTACAACTGAGAAATCTGAACTCTGGGGATACAACTCAAAGTAAATATTGTCTCAAGGTAAATAAACTAATTACTTGGCTGGCTGGTGAAATGCCTCCTTCTAAGATCATAACCCCAGCACGGGACATTTGCTTTCTGCATGTGCATCCCAAGACAAAAATCAGGTAACCTGACATCCTCAAAATGATTCAGATCATGCCTTCCTATTTCTCCCCTCAGCGCTGAGCAACAGCTCCAGAGCCTGGAAGTCGTCACGTATGTGGCTTGGGACTCGGCACTCAGGTAAACACTGCCACGTGCCCGACCATGACTAACACGGACTACTTCTCTAAGCACGATGGTAACTAGGGGGGAGGCCCTTGCTCAGGGAAAGGACACGGAAGGTGGAAGCCAGGACAAGGGGAGAGCTGAGGACAACACTGCTAACAGACTCACACGACACCATGGGACGGGAATACTGAAGCCGGCAATCTTCTGAAAATACCACTAACACCATCAAAACCCGTAAGCTTTCTTGTTCTACTCAGGAAATCGGGGTCAAGGGCAACGTTCGCATACATTGCTCACTGATACATTCTTCTTAACAGAAGTGAAGCTATTTTAAGAATATGAAAAAGCTTCTCAAGACATCTGTTCTCAGGGACAGACCACAGTAACAAATACTTCTCAGAGCTGGTCTGTTCTAAAGTCTATCCCAAGAACAAGGGCAGCCAACTATCATGAGGTACCAAGACATGTTTCAGCAAAAATATTTTCACTTTCCTAAAGTTATATGCTGTTTTTCAAGTCCAAATATATTATAAATATCTGATCCTTTTCCGTCGGCAAAAAAGGGAACACTTTTTTTGTTTTTTAGACTCCAACGCTGGTAATATTTGTGTAGAATGAAGGTAGAATTTTAGTTGTTTTTTTTTATAACTCCAAACACAGATGAAATCAAACCGTCTGCAATTGTCCGAAATTCACATCTTTCAAAGGTCCTTTCCTCCATTCACATGAATTCATCTGAATCATTGCCGTCCTGTAGGAAACAAAAAAGTGAAACTGTAAAAGCCTTTAAAATAAATAACTCAAATTTTTAAAAATGTACACAATTAGTCTTAAGTAACAAGCTTCCTGATGCATAACTGCAAAGTTCAGAAAGTGAAAGTAAAAAGTAACATCATTAAATTCACTCACCACTTCTCTATCTTAAAGTAGGAGCTGTTTAGACTAGCTGGATTTCTATGGCGTCATTATATGGCCTGAATCACACAGCAACAAATGACCAACAGTTTCCAAATTATGAAGTAAAGGCCCACCTGCCCTAGGACAGGATGTAACAAGTGTGACGAAAACAAAATGTGATCACTCCAACAAATACAGCAAAATATCAATCCAAACAGATCCTGCCTCAAATCCTTATGCCAAGGATGCTGCCAATAGGCAATTAGGCAAACACATTTTTGGCCTAGATGCCATTATTTTTAGCCTCAAGGTTGTCACAAGATGGATTTTTTTTTTTTTTAAATAGGAAAAGTGATTAGGAAGCCATAGGCTAGGTACCAAGTTCAGTGGCCTGCCAAGTTTTTGATTAAAAAACCTTATATGATGGTATACAGTAGAAAGGCCCTGATTTTATTGTGTGGCTTATATACACGTCCTAAAGACCAAGGACAAAAGTAGAGCCCCAGACTCCTTTTTGATCTATTGCATACCCTGAGAAAACGGCCCTGGATGCCAACATTCGCTAAGTGTCTAAGTTTGGGACATCAGCTTGAAAACGTCACAACCTGAACATAGCACTTGCTGTAGCTTCTCTTTCCCATGGCCTGATACCGGAGCTGAGAGAGAAGGGGAGGGCTCAGGCTTCCAGGTATATATGCTCTGCTCCTCCTTAATAGCTCTTATTAAAGATGGGCCAGGAAACAGGAGATCCCAGCAGGAAACGCTGGTTTCTGAGGTCTGCTTTGATCGCCAGTTTCTTTCAGTAGTTCTCTGTGCTTTTCATCAAGGAGCACAGCGAACCGAGGCCACGGCAAAAATGCCTTAGATAATTGTATGAAGAGCAAGCTCATGCTGGTATTCTATGCACAAACCAGAACTGTGACTGCCTTAGAGTCCTACACTGAAATCATAGCATCAGAGATGTTCAAAGCCACCATCTATCTTGGAAGGTCAGTATTAGAACCTGAACACTGAGGTGGAAAAATGCTCTGAGACAATTTGGATTGGCGACAATGAAAGTGTGTCACTCCCGATAAAGGCTGTGAGTCAGATTTGCAGAGTGTCTGTCCCATGTGTCTGCGGATCTGTATTTGGGGATTACAGCAACTTTTAAATAGATATCCGAGACCCAAGACTTTATCTGGACAATTTAATTTTTTTTAGAGAGAAAGACAGAGTGTGTATGAAGTGGGGCAGGGGGTGGGGAGGGGCAAAGGGAGAGGGGGAGAGAGAATCCTAAGCAGGCTCCAGCGCGGAGCCCAACGTGGGCTTCGATCCCAACACCCTGAGATCATGACCTGAGCCAAAATCAAGAGTCGGACGCTAGAACGACTGAACAATCCAGGTGCCCCTATTTGGCCAATTTTTATATTTAAGATTCCCTTTAAGAGTCAATATGTTTTTCAATATAGCAAAATAGGCTTCTTGTCATCTACCTATAAAGTGATAAACAAAATCGAATTGAAAGGAACTGTTTACTGATAACATTAAAAGATTAGGAAGAAATTACAGATTGAAGAGGATTATTCTAAATAGGAGAGCAAGAGCTCAAAATTAAAACCAACTTCAGAGTGGAAGACTAATATTTTTCCTGATGAATTTATATAAGCCACATGAAAACTCAAGTCCTATCATATATAAACGCAGCTTTAACTGAAGATCAACTGATCATGCAGCCAAACTGGATCATAAAAGGTCTGTACCCCCTTAAGAGAAGAGGGTTACAAGGAGAATGAAAACCTATTCTTTGGCAGTATTGCGGAGAAAGCTGTAAGAGTCCTTCCACTGCAAGACAGAGTAAAAACTCCCAGTGCAAAACTTCCCTGGAAACATGAATCTGATTGAAACCTGGAGCTCAGGGACAGGGGAGCAAACAACAGACAGAGAGGAACGGCAGAAGAGTTAGGAGTCCTTTGGTCTATAAATCTGACTTGCTAATCCTGGAACGTATGTATGTATGTATGTATGTATGTATTTATTTATTTATTTGACAGAGAGAGACACAGCGAGAGAGGGACCACAAGCAGGTGGAGTGGGGGAGGGAGAAGCAGGCTAATCCTGGAGTTTGTTATTTATTTATTTGTTTGTTTGTTTGACAGAGAGAGATACAGCGAGAGAGGGACCACAAGCAGGCGGAGTGGGGGAGGGAGAAGCAGGCTTCCCGCTGAGCAGGGAGCCCGATGCGGGGCTCGATCCCAGGACCCTGAGATCATGACCCGAGCTGAAGGCAGACGCCTAACGACTGAGACACCCAGGCGCCCCGCTAATCCTGGAGCTTTCAACATCTGTCGCTACTCGGATCATGTCTGTATATTTGTATGTGTGTGTGTGTGTGTGTGTGTGTATTAATTCCAGAAGAATGTCCAAAATTTAATAATCCACAATGATGGAAATGAAAATGCCTAAGATTAACATAATCCAGGTGCCCAATTTCTGCTGGAAAGTAGCCTCTAAATCACAGAAGATTTTTAAGCAACAATAACCACAACAAAGACATTACACTGAGGGTATGTTAAAGATTTCTGTTTAACTGTTAAGCTGTTTTAAGAGTTCCAAGAAATCTAATAGTAGTTTCCAGAAGGGATTAAATACATATCACCATTAATACTGAAACTCTGTGGGAAAGAGCAGTTAAGGGCTGTATCGACAAGAAATTAACAATGACCATTTATATTCAGAGACTGAGGAACAACTTTCACATATATGCCCTTGTTTAAATTCTAGTGCAGACCCAGGAAGAAATTAAGTCTCCCTTCCACTGCTGATGAATACTCCTTCAGAGAGGTTAAATAACTTTATTAGGCTTATCCATGTAGTAAATGATAGCTTAGGGCTCTAACCTTCAAATTCAAGGTGTATTTAATTACATAATGCTACTCTTGAATTTTTCAGGAATAAATTACAAAGCTACATCTCTGACTCACAAAGGAGGCTCATAAATTTAGTTCTTCACAGAGACAGAAATAAGAATATTGTCCTTACTCATTTTTAGAAGAACATTAAGATTTGAACAAGGTGTAAAATCCTACTAAAAACCCCCACTGATGAACTAAATATGGGGTTTGACTAGATGACCTTTAAGGGATCTTAAATTTTGTTAATTATTTCTAAGCATCTAAGGCAGTAGTGTGTAATATTATTTTCTTTGATGGTGGAAATGTTCTATTTCTGCGCTGTCCAATATGACCACTAGCCACATGTGGCTAGTATGACTGAGCAGAGTTTCTAAAGTAAACTAAATTTTAATTAAATTTAAATGGTCACATGTAATTAGTGCCTAGTATCCTGAACAACAAGATCTAAATCATACATAGTTGCCCCCTGAACAACACGAGTTTGAACCACACAGGTCTACTTCTACACAGACCCTTTTTCAATAAATATAGTTCGGGACTGTAAAAGTATTTTCTTCTCCCTATGACTTTATGGTCTTTTCTCTAGCTTACTTTATTGTGTGGATATGGTACATAATACATATGACATACAAAATATGTATCAATTGACTGTTTATTATGGGTAAGGCTTCTGGTCAACAGTAGGCTACCAGCAGTTAAGTTCTGGGGGAGTCAAAAGTTATATGGAGATTTTTCAACTGTGTAGGGGGTTTGGCACCCCTAACCCCCTTACTGTTCAAGGGCCAACTGTATTTGCAAGCTATACTATAAAATATGCAACATAGCAAATATATCCACCCAGTTTCGATTTTCTGCAGCCTGTTACATAATAGCTAAATTGGGCTATCTCCATATCTTCCCATAAATTTTGGGAAGAGAGTACTCATGGACAGTAAGTCCCTGACATAGTTCCAATAAAATAATTAGATGCTGATACTAAGAAAATTCTTTCAGTACTATAATCTGGATCTCCATTTCTCTTATCTGAGGTCCTGAGGAACATGAAATCAACCAATGTGTCACTTAGGCTGCAGGTAAGATCTTGGGGTTAATACTTCCATTTTGTTTTTTAATTGAAGGTGAGAATTTTGTTTTCAGTTGTAATATAGGATCTACAGTAACATTAATGTAGAATATTAATAAGGGCCCTTCTGCATGCCGCAACTAGGAAAGGGCAAATGAGGAGCAAGAATGTTCTGTTAACAGACCTGCATATCATAACAGAGCCCGATGATTTCTTTCCGTGAGGTGACCTACTTAAAAACACATTGCCCCTCTTTCGCTCTTGGCCCAGGGAAAGAGGGGCAATGCCCAATAGAATGCACTTGAGCTTATGATGGTTGCCAAATCATGTCAAGCCATCAGCAACATGTGAATCAGTACTGGCTAATCATTCGATTATTAAAAACTCTTAATTATTTTAAGGTACAACATTAAAACAAATAACTTGAACATACCTGATTTGAAGACATATTCTCAACTTTCATTAGTGATGAATAGCTCCTAGAAGGAAACACATTTAAAATAAGGTTATCCAGGGGCGCCTAGTTGGCTCAGTCGGTTAAGTGTCCAACTCTTGATTTTGGGTCAGGTCATGATCTCAGGGTGGTGAGATCGAGCCCCACGGTAGGCTCCGCATTGGATGTGGAGCCTGCTTAAGTTCCCCCTTCTCTAAAAATAAACAAAATAAGGCTATCCAGCCAGTGAGTATTTCATGAACATTTACCATGTACCCAGCAGGGTCTTTCGGAGGAAAATATGATCCCTGCCCTCAAGGAGATTGCAACAAATACCTTTGAACAGTAAATAAGATGTGCACAGCACTTTACAGTTTAGAAAGTGCTTGCTCATACTCATTTCATGTCACTTCCACACTGTGAGGTAGGTGGCGTTATTCAGATCAGGAAACCCATCTATGGCCAAGAGCAAACAGGACTCCTTGCTGGGGGTGGACTGCCCGGACTGCAGAGGCTACAGGAACTCACGAGGAGATGCACCAGCACAGGGGCAGATCCAGAGAATGGTAGGAGCAAAGGCAAAGAGATGGTATCTATAATGACATCTCAAGTCCATTCAAGTGGAGTCCGAAGGCAAAGGAGCAGGAAATTAGGCTGGATGTGTGGGGCCCGATTATGTTGTCCTAACTGCGTGAGCTAACACAACGTGATCGGCAAGAAGCCACAATATAAGACGGGAGCAGAGGAGAGACATATGAGATTCAACAAGTATTATTAAATATCTGTGAGGTGTGAAGCCCTGTGCTAAGCCTGGGTGGAGGATGAGATGGGAAGAAAACAGAACATGATGAACAAGACAAAGCCTAGCCCCAAAGAGCTTACCAGGAGAGGAGATAAGACCTATTCAGCCATAAGTCTGCAAAAAGTTCAATTAAAAATACACAAAGAGACAAAGGAAAGTGAGACCATAGAACACCAGTGTTTAATCTGTAGCAGACAGAAGAGAGGGAGAAGGGAAATTAAGGCAAGGAGATGAGTTAATAGTAACAGTATTTACATTTACCATTTACCAAGTATCCTTTATTTGCTAGGACCTGTGTTCTATGCTTCATAAATTACCGCTAATCCCCCAACCACTTTATAAGGCAAGGGAGAGTCTCATGCCTACTCAAGACACAGGAGGCAGAGCAGGGGACATTAAGGAAGTCGTGCAAGCTCTCCCAGCTAACTAGTGGAGAAGCGAGCCTCTGAATCCGCATCAGATTCCTGAGCTCACACTCCTGCCATCATGCTCCATCCAGTCTGCTGCAATGTTCCCCCACTGAGGGCATGAATCCAGGCTGTTAACAGCTGTCCTGGTAAGAAGGGATAAATCTGAGAGGAATCAACGATGACATCAAGGTTTCTATCTTGGGTGATTTGAAGAAAATAATGCTACAGTTGAGAGAAATGGGCAAATGCTGCAAGGAAGGTGTGCTCGGTGTGCGGCATGTTGCATGTGAAGGAATGGTGAGACATCCAAGTAGAGAATACGAACTATAGAAACGGAAAACTGAGAACGAGAGGGAAGGAGAACAGTCCCAGTTTGAGACAACCATCTGGGAGACATCTGGAGAGAGAGATTAGGCGAAGCTTGTCGGAGGAAGTGGTTATCTCTAAGAAATACACAGGTAAGATGGAGAAGCTGCAAGAGCAGAAAGAGAGAGGCATGCTGAGCACAAAGTGGGTAGAGCAGGGAATCTCAATCCTGGCTGCATTTCAAAATCGCCTAATGAAGACAGGCATCCCCAAGCCACATTCAAGAACCACTGGGTCTGAGAGCCCACTTTGATGAAAGCAACACACAGTTACCCTTTGTTAGGCCATGCCTGTCCTCTGAGCTCTGTCCCATTCATCCATCTGCCTATCTGACATTTTTTTGGATACCTCAAGGTATTGTCAGATTCATATGTCCCTTCGCTACTCATGGTCCCACACCAGTTTGGTTCTTTCCCAGTATCCCCTGGGCCCAGAGAACGGCACCGTCATCCATTTCACCTCACACACCAGAAACCTAGCAGTCACTCTTTTCCCCTGCCTGTCCCCTCCATTCGATCTAGCTTCAAATCTTGTCATTTTACCTACAAAATCACTTCTCCCTGGTCCACTTCTCTCTACCCCTCCACAACACTCCCATATTCCAAGCTACCATCACCTGTCTTGTGGACAACTAATAGTTTTCTAACTGGCCTAGCCACCCCCCACCAGGTTCCTCTTCCATTCAGGTCAGCAAAGTGAGCTTTCTGAAGCACAAACCTTATTATACAATCCCCTGCTTAAAAGTCTTTGATGATCTCACAAAAGTCTGATGAAGGATGAAGACAAACATGACACCAACAGGCCCCGTGTGCTCGGCACTTTGATCCATGCATCCCCTCACTCCTGGGTTCCATACATCTGGGCCTGCCTTTCTAGTCCTGGGTTCTGCCTTGCTGCCTCCCACAGAGTCTTTCTTTGCACACCCAGTTCCCTCTGCTTAGAGCCCTCTTGCCACCCATCCCCCTTTTAACCAGCAAACATAGTTCTGATCTTAGCTCAAGCATCACTGTCTCAGAGAAGCCAATCTGTTATTTATACATCCGCAATATATTAACCAATCTTACTCACTGCATATGCAAAGCACCGGATCACACATAAAGGGATGCAAAGATGCATATAAGTGCCTCTTTGAAGGAGTTTGCCACTAAAACGGAGAGCTACAGCATACAGAGCATTAGTTATAGAAGGCAGCAGTGTTCGTGTGTGAGGGAGAAACAAAAGAAGGTCCAATTAAAGCAGTCATTTCTACATTGGACTATATCATCTTTTTAATCATTGGTCTTTTACCTTTTCTACATGTTGCCACTAAACTCCTCCTACAGGTCTACTTCTTCCTAACATCCTAGGACACGTATGATGGCTCCTTATCACTTACAACCTGAAATTCTGTACTATGCAAAACCTTTTAAAATCCCTCTCCGATGTGCCTAATCTTTTATTCTTTTATTTGCCTATATATGACCTTGACTCTGGCCTTGCCAACCCGTTCCTTTCTTGCCTTACAGGCAGTACAGTGCGGACCTCAGGACTCCAGACTTGAGTTAGAATTCCTGCTTTGCCCCTTACCAGCTATAACTTTCCACACATTAACCATCTTTTTTTTTTTTTTTAAAGATTTTATTTATTTATTTGACAGAGAGAGACACA